CACACACACACATGTACTCACTTACTTATATATGAAGTGAAAATGGAAATTCTTATCTTTAATAAGTATTGCAGTGTTTATTATAAATTATTTATTCCAACACAATATTATGAATTTTTTTAAAGTATGAGCAATGTGTCTTAGAACTATACACTATTAGTAGTGTCATAGTGCCACCCAGTGGACAACGGTAATAACAGTGGTAATTAGAAGAATGCCTGCAAAAAACAAAAGGATCAATAGTTTACATACATGAACATGTGGAATTATTTTATGATGGATGCATACATGTTGCAGCTAATTGTTTTGCATTCTTACTCAATGACAGGGTTGATGCAGAATTGCCAGGCTCTGGGGAAAAAAGGGTGCAGTCATGAATTTGTTTTCATATAAAAATAAAAAACATGAGCTTAGAAAACTTTGATTAAATAAACTTGCCAGATTTGTACTCTCCATTGCAACTGGAAGCTTAAAAAATAATAAACATTCAATAAATACCTACTTCATGATGAAGTACACTATAACTAAATAAAAAATGACTGCTTTTGACTCACATTCTTGGTCACGGGCACACTTGTTTTCTTCTGTAAGAGAAACAGATATTTTGATATATAAATCAAAAATCAAAGATTTGTATTTCCAGTGCTCAAAAAGGTTTTGATACTTATTACCAATATTCAGCTTATGCATTTCATCAGAATCCTTCAAACATGTGAGTTCGATGTCTGCTGGCCACTTTATACACGTCATCCCGTCTCTGTACACAATGTCACATGATTGGGATGTTTGACCACCAGACATGCAAACTGGGACATGTCCATCCATCATCTTGAAGCAAGTGACTTTTCCAGCAGTATGCACCATTGCCACTGTAAAGTTGCACTTTCCTACAAAAACAAAACAGAATTAGAGAGTTAGCTAATGAAATTAAACAGTAAAGAATATGAACCACAATTGTAATGCAGAGATGGCTTTCAAGTGGAAAAATAAACAGCTAATTTATTAAAGTTGGCTATGTCAGTCACAGAAAATGTGAGTTGCAAAACTCACTGCTACAATGCTAGGGTACTGCGTGAGTGGGGAACACGCAGATACAAGGTGTCTAAGGTAGCCAGAGTGATTTTTAGCACATTGCTATAAGGTTTTAGTGTGTTCTGGCCCCAGCTTTATCATTCTCCAGGTGAAAAAACACCACACAATAGCCACATGATGAAGGAAATATTCATATCTGTTGCACAAATGGTGCAAAAGTCTTAGCACACACTACTAAAACCTCTTACCTTCCTGCCTACAAGGTATAAAATGGTCAAGTACAAAAGCGTCATCTTTATACCTTATTTACCCCTAAATGATAGATACACATTAGTCATTTGAAAGTACATATTAGTACCCTTTGAAAGGATACTGCGCCAGTGCCCCATTTTTTGTTTTGTTTTGATCTTTTTCTGAGAATGTAAGCTGCAGTGAAACACAAATTGTCTTGGGTTTTTATTTTATTATATATATATATATAATTTATATATAATTATAATTATATATATATATATATATATATATATATAAACTGATCAAAATGGCCAAATAACTTAGTGTTATTTATGACCATTTCATAGGCCAATATATTTAAAAAATGTAAAATGAAATTACCATTTTGTAGTGCATTACAGCATTGCAGGCAAATAATCAGCATCTGTAAACAGATATACAACACACTTTATACATACATACCACTAGAATCATTGTGATATTATAATAGACATTAATATATATATATATATATATATATATATATGTGTGTGTGTGTGTGTGTGTGTGTGTGTGTGTGTACGCAAAATCTCCTTGATACTTGTAGTGTTGTTGTTTTTGAGGAAAGAAATTAATACTTTTCTTCAGCAAAAAATTGAATTGCTCAAAAAGAAAAACAAACATTTATAATGTTACAAAAGATTTGATAATTTTATTTTACAAACTCAGGCTCATTGGAAATACGCAACACAGACTACATTTCTGCAAAACTGCACAAATAACACATATTTCACCATGTTTTGTTCCTTCCAACAAAAATTATGATTACAGGGGCATATTATCAATAAATAATGGTTTATTTTTACACGGTTCTTTGCACAATACTATGTTTTGACCTCAAAATACTTTTACACTTTTTTTTTTTTTTTTTATAATTTTGCAATCATTTTTATGAAACAAAAAAATTATATCATTGATAGCACCTCTTGTGGAAGAGTCATCTGAAAGTGCAGCAAAATGTACTCTGAGCAATGTATTTCAGGATTTGCAGAAATCTAAGCAGTCACATCCTCGTTAGATGTTACATGTACTTGTTGTAGTAATAACAGTAAATGGTGCATAATTTAACATCCAGGGCAGGGCTTAAAGTACTTAAATTCACTACTTATTTTATTTTATTTATACTTCACTTTAGAGAACCCATTATTAGATTGTTAGCACATTAATGCTAATGTGCTGAGCATTAATAGCGTTACTTGTACTTGCCATAGTAATAACAGTACCTCAGCTTCATCAAACAGTCTGTGCAAATACATTTAATGCCACTTCAGATGCAGCTTTCGTTTCCTCTGCCGTGAAAAGATGGAGTTTGTCGATACTGATTTCAGTTCATTCTTATTATTCTAACTGAATTAATTGAAACAATGTAAGAATTTGATGTGAAAGATGACATATTTAATAAGGTTAGGGCGAAAAATGACCATTTATAAACAGTGGGAAATGACATCTGTTTTGTTACATACAGCAACTCATTTTATGTTAAATATTTCTACCTCTTTCCAGTCACAGAGCACTTTATTTTGACAGTTGTTTAATTGAGAGAACATCTATAACTTAGTCCAGATTGGGGGAATTGCAATGTTTAATAATTAATTTTTTTGTGTGTAAATGTGTTATGTTAGAATCATTATTATACTCATACCTTTTGTTCTTTTAATATTTTGAATTGTTTTTAGCTTAATTTTATGTTTAGTTTTGAAGTGTTGTTGTATGCATTTGTCACTTTTATTTAATTTCTTTTATTTTCTTAAATGTGTATATATATATATATATATATATATATATATATATATATATAGTATTTATAGAGTTTTAGCTTTTAGTTTTAATGACTTTTTCTTATTTGCAAGTCGCTTTGGATAAAAGCGTCTGCTAAATGACTACAAGTACAAGTAAAAATTTGCTTAGATTTAGTCAAATATAGTTCTTAGAGAGAAAATCGGAATCTGCAAAAATCTGTATTAGCAAGTCACACTTACAAAAAAAATCGGAATCGGCCAAGAAAATTGCAATTGGTGCATCTCTAGTATCGAGTTTGGTGTAAATATTTCATTCCATTGAAAAGTTATAGCAGTTTTAGGAAAAGTGACCCCACCTCTTATGAATGTTTCAGTGAGTCGAAAACTCGATTTTAATTTTTTTTATTTTTTAATAATTATTGATATTCACTCTCCAGATAATTTTTCTACACTGGTTTGGTTCTGATTGGGAGAAAAACCTAGGACTAGTTCGCAAAAGTAGGTTTTTCAAACAAACAATCTAAAATAGGGTGACAATTGATTCCATCACATGTATTTTGTTCGTCCTGACCCAAGGATTCCAATGATATAAGACACACGAGTCTGTGACAAGCACTTTAAGAGTTATGAGCGATTTTGCACTATGTAGCACTATCGTCGGGCCGATCAGGGCCAGCCTTGGTGACATTGTAGTAACCATCCCTCAACGATTCAGGTCTCTACGTCTTACAGTTTTGTCTGCCTGATCACTTTTAAGTCAGAATGCTGATCTTTGAAAATCTTAACAGTTACAGTAGGGTTTCAGCGCTACATGCTTGAACCCCTAATTTATTGTAATTATATAATCTGTTAGTTTGAGGTTAAAGAAGAGAGAGAGAGAAAGCTTCCACTACCACTGCAGTTACACTAAATGCTTGTTTTTTTTCTATGCATGGTGTGTTGCATCAGCCTCAAATAAAAACACCCCAATTACAGACAAGCAGGCACACATACGACCGAACTTCACACAGATCTTCAACAGTCACATCTCCCCAACGTTTTCTTATTTCCTATTGATCATATTGTGCAACACATGACTAAAAGGCTGCACTGTGTGAACTGGATGCAAATCATTTTATAAAGTATTCCCATTATCCTACTCATCTTTCCTCTATCTTATCCTTATACTTCACTTTAGAGCATCCGTTGTTTGATTGTTAACACAATAATGCTATTCTGTTGAGCA